CCCCACCTCGCACCCACCCAATCCCATATATTAAAGCTCAGAAGGAGGGAATAAGGCATGACCACTTAAGTCATATGGGTGCATTTCAAAGGCATCCGATTCTCACACCAAGAAGTCAATTCGATCTTAGTAAAAAGCACAAAACGATACTTAAAAACGAAAGGCTAAACAGAACGCCGGAATAAAATAGCTCTTTGCATAAACCCTTATTGGTCTTGCGAAACTTTTTATAAATCTTCTGAAGAATAATTACCGAACCAACCTCAAGCAGAGATGCCAATTTATCAGCCGAAACATTCAGCGCCCATTCCAAGTCATCATCAGTAAGTCCCATTTCTTCGGCATATAGCTGTAAATCTTTCGCGCGCTGAACATCTTGCTGATCCCGACATCCGCCGCATATTACCAGCCGAACCTGTAGAAAGCCAGATAAGAGGTACGCATGGAAAACAAGAACTAAGGCATGACGAATCACAAATTTCATTTGATTGATGCTTCAGTTTTTTCGGTTTTGTATGAAAAAGCTCACCTTATAGTCAAGATTTTCTTTCACCAATCGTTTTTTGAGCTCTGCCAGGAAGCAGATCTGCAGTCGATGATCCTTTTCGGGTCTGATTTGTCCAATTGATAACATCTGTACACGACCCTCTTCACTCAGTAACTTTTCCGCTTTTGAATTAATTCTAAAACAGTAAATTTCTTGTTGGGTTAAACTGTTCCTGAATGATTTCGTAACTAGAAACCAACAAAACTAAAATACGACAAAGACAACAAATGAAATTTTTGCCTAAGCAGATAAAACGCGTCAGGTGTTATTAATTTTTGCAGCTCAAACCTTCGGTTTTTTAGCTCTCAAAATTTCCCATTTGACTTCTGACCATACTTATTCAACAGTAAATTGGAATCTTTTTTTATAAAACAGAAATTGGTATTCCTTCGAGTTGCACATAGGTTGTAAGCATCCTCGTAAAATTTCATCTTCCTACGTTGCCTGACTTCGAAAATTGCTTCCTTGTAGAAATATTTTTCACGCAACTCGTACATGAAAACTAAGAAGGCATAAGCGTCTTTCACGTTTGAGCACCCATAATAGAGGTGGAATAAACTTTTAAAATTTCAGCTTCACTGCTTCCGTATATCTGTGGTTACAAAAAAATACACAAACAGGGAAACAAAAGGATGTCTCCTGTCCTGCAGCCTGAGCATTCCTGAGTCAATTTTCACGCACACCAGAGATCCACGTACAGACACACGGTGGTGATTGATTGGAAGTTTTTCAATTTGAAGACTAGGTAAAACAGAAAGCTGAAGTTTTAGGAGTTCATATTCGGCTTACACGTCTGTCTACTTCTCACGTT